CAAAACTGCAGACATTTGGATGATGTTTTGTTCAGCTCAAGAACTTTCCCAAATGACAAACATGATCTAAAGTCATTTGGCAAACTACTGGTAAAATAAATAATTCTTAATTAATATTTTGTGTCTCATTATCTTTTGATGTCTTTAATGTCCCACTAAACCAAAAAACAGATAGTAGAATGCAAAAAAGTCTTCAATATACTATCAATGCAAAATAGTTTGGGGGTTTTTTTGGGATTTGATGTTTGAACTCTGTTTTGTCACCACTCCTGATAGAGGCTGATAGACCAAATAGTTTTTCTACCTTTAATAAAAAAGGTTAATTTGTTTTCCTGTCCTATGAGTCACAAGGCAACCATTTTAAAGGTGACAAAACAACTCTACCATCAATATGCCCAATAAATTCAAGGCAGTGGGGTTACTTTCATCAAAGTCAACTTTTCTAGCTGAGTAGATGACGTGTGCCTCTGTGAAAACATTTGTCATCTACTCTTTTTGTTTGTGGACTATAATCTTAATATTGCCACTGATAGTTACATGTAACACTGTTCCCCTGTCATCTAAAGAAAAATGGCCCTGGATGACCGTGTGTGGGCTGAAACCCGGAGGTAAACACAGTGCGGCGTTTTTCCTTCTCAGCATCCCTGAGTGTCCGCAGTGAGAGAGGAGTAAAAAGGTTATTAATGAATAACTTCAACTATTCATCTCCACCACCCCACCTGTCTCCCTCTCTCTCGCCCTTCCTCTCTTCCTGTCTCAGCAGGAGTCAGTTGATAATGAGGTGTGGTGTTGTCAGAATCACAGCCCGTGCTCATCCATCCAACCTGCTTAGTAAGGGGCATGGCACACTATTGTCTAGTATGTACACACATGCACGTATACACACACATACACACAAGGTCATAAAGAGACAGATGTCAGGGTATGGACATATGAACACATATGGACTGAGAGTACATGAAGATTGAAGAACAATCTTAGGGAAATACATGAACACACACACACACACACACACAGACACACACACAGACAGACACACACACACACACACAGACACACACACACAGACAGACAGACAGACAGACAGACAGACAGACACACACACACACACACACACACACACACACACACAGAAACGAGAGAGAAACACAAACATTTTCAGGCTTGCTGTTGACCTTTACTTATCAGATAAGAGAGTGGCATTATTACTGGAATATGCCATATATATGTATACATATATATATATATATATATATATATATATATATATATATATATAAATATATACACACACACTCAGGTATCATACCAGATTTCTCTACTTCTGCTCCTCTCTTCATCCAAACTATCTCTTTCTCTTCATCCTACCAGCTCCTGATCTCCTCTGACCCACTTCCCGCCATCTTCCATCCTCCATCACTCGATGACTCCCCCCTCTTTCTCTCCTTTCCTTCCTTCTTCCTCTTTTTCTACAGTAACTCCATTCATATACTGTGCCTCCTTGGCCCTTGCCTCTGTCTCTCAGCATATTATAAACTCTCCTTCCCTTTTTCCCTTTCAGGAGGGTGAAGGGTAAGTGAAGATCGTTGGGCCCCAGTGGAGAGGCCCAGACATCGTGGGTGTGTGTATACGAGCGTGTGTGTGTTTGTGTGCGCCCCATCATTGCTCATCTCTGGCAGACTTGCTGGCTGTTCCCCAAGCTACAAGCTACAGAATAAATACACTTTAAATCACCCCCCACACACACACACACGCACACACTCACACACACACACACACACGCACGGACACACGCACGGACACACGCACGGACACACACACGGACACACACACGGACACACACACGGACACACACACGGACACACACACACACACACACACACAGAGGCAGCCTTCTCCCTGGCAGCACTTTGCTGCTGTTAAATGAGGGGTCTGGGGAGTTGTGGCGGCAAAGCCTTTGGCTACTCTTGCTCTCCTCCTCCCTCCATGCACTCCAGTCAAACATGCACTGGAAAAATAAGCCAGAGTTGTGACTGTAATATGCCAGGATTTCTAATGTTAAAAAAATAGGATTCTGCTTACTAAACATACCAAAGCCAGAACATAAAGACACTGTCCAGGGATCCAGAGACTTTTTCCAGAAAGAGATGTACTGGCTGAGTGGACAAAATGTCAAGACCATTTGTTCTCCACATGAACTAGATGGACCAACTGGATCCAAGTGAAAAATAACCCTTAGTAAAATCTTTTGTGTGGATTTTTTCCCTGAGGAGAATCAAAACCAGGGGCTGAAAAGTTAAATGGTATGAGTCTTCAACCCCACTACTGTGTCCCAACCTGTCACCTCTCAAAATGCCTGCCAGTAATTTTTTAATGAAACAGTCTGCATATAACCTAACATAACACAAAATAATTAGGATTAACTATACTGATTGTCTGCCTGTATTGTTGGCCAAGCACACCTTGAGCCCATTGCCATATGTACAGAGACCATATCTAGAAGAATACAATACTAATTCACATGCTGAACTGGAAAGGGTAAATACTGATGCTGTGACATCACCCTCAAAGAGAAAGGCTTGTTTAAAGGATGCCACTGTGTCAAAAACAGTGAGGTGCACCAATCATGTTTTAACAACATTCCTAAGCAAGTCACCAGAAAGACAACAGTGTACTTCTAACTTAATGGCAGTTTGGGGGAGACCCTTTCCTGTTTCAACATGATGATGTCACCATGCACAAAGCGAGGTCCATAAAAAAGATCTTTCCAGAAGAACTTGACTGACCTGCACAGAGCTCTGACCTCAGCCACATCCAACACCTTTTGGATGAAAAGAAACACTGATTGCGAGCTGGCAAACCTCAATAACGTCATTGTGGCTGAATGGGAGCAAATCCCTGCAGCCAGATTAAAATATCTTGTTCTGTTCGGTGCTGTGCAATAACTGGCTTTCCTAATTGCTGATGTTTCAGGTAATTTCATTTAAGTTCAGACTGAAAAAAAAAAAAAAGTCAACATTACTGGATATCTTTCTGCATCTCACTTTAGTATGATTTTAAAACTGTCACCGCCTCCACATTCAGTGGGATTTTAGATCCCACTCCATCTCCATCTTCACTGCAGTGGGCGTGGGTGCAGGTGGTGATAGCCCTCTCCCCTGCTTACACTCCCTCTGCAATGTAACTGCATATTTTAAACCAGCGGAGTGTGTGGTGGAGGCAATGAAACCGTGGGCTTTTGTCACGCTTTAAGACAACTAAATACGGGACGGCTCAGGTTAATATTTTGTCCACTCAGTGTTTTAGGCTTGGACACACATGAGCACCTAATTGAAAAGTCTGTAGCCATTCGACGACTAGGTTTAGCACTGTTTTGTAGCCAGGAGATTATAGCTGTCTAATGGTGGTGAAATAATAATGATGTTAGACTGTGATCTGTCTGCTCATTCTTTAAATATGTATATACTCCGACTGTGCCAACAGATAAATGAAACAATGAAACCTGACAAAGTGGGATAATGCTGCACACAGAAACATGCACACGCAGACTATATATATCCCTGACCCCAGGCTGTCAGGGCATCTTGTCCTCATCCAGCTCTGTGTCCTTCCCACAATGTAACATCAACTAGGTTAACTGCAGCTAATATGGCACAGCACTGCTGTCCTCAATGTCTTGTCTTATCCTTCTACGCGTCTATCTCTCTCTACATACGTATCTCTCTATCCTTATTAGCCTGACATAATTGGGTAGGGTAGTGTTCGACCCACTGATCCTAGGTACAACATAACAATTAATTAAGCTGCAGTCATAGGGTTTTCCATTGACATTAAGGAAATGCTAGTCATAATCTGTGTGAGAGGGAGAATTGTGACCAAAAGCTCCTACTTACAGCACGGTACCTTGTGGTTCTAAAAGGTACAGAACACAGCCAGATATTGACAGGACTGGTTCACAATGAAAGAAGGGAGTAGCCCATTGAGAATACACTCCAATGATCACCGTCCCTTATGAACTTTGTCGAAAGAAGTAACAAATATAAAGAGGACTGCAGGCGATTCAGCGCTGCCAAACAAAACTTTATACAACCACAATTCTTCCTGGTCCTTCCCAGAAAGGTATGTACCTTGGACTTAAGTGAGCAGAAAAAATTAGGAAGCTACAGCTTGCTGAGTGTTGCTTCGCTGTGAAAGAAACTTCAGAGGAAAAAAGGCCTCCAGTGTTTTGCAAGCTTTCAGAGTATTTGTCTGCGATAGCTTTGCAGAAACTACAGAAAACTGTATCCAATAGACAGTGCCACTGCACTAACTCCAGACCTAATATTTAAATGATAGTGCTGGAATACTTGGACTTTAAAACTGAATCTTGACAAGCAACAGCTGAATATAAACTTTCCTGTAAGAATATAATATTAAGATATGTTTTAAAAAATACAAATGTGAGCAAGACCTGCATTTATAGACATACAGGGAAACAAAGTTATCCAACAAGTCCTATGCTTACTTTAAAATGTAGACAGAATAATGTGAACTAAGCACACACACTCCAGAAGCATCACAGAGCGAGTATTACAGCCTTATCAAACTGATTTATTCTCCCTTCAGTTACAGCAGTCTTTGGGAGGACTTTCTTTTTGCCTCTTCTCTAGCTGCCCTTTCTGCTTCGGCCTTTGTCTTTGAGGCATAGAGCCAATTTTCTCATTTATAAAAAAAAAAAAATAAAGCAAGAAAATAAAATCAATAGGCCCCTCTTCTTCTCATGCTATGTTTTCTTAAACTCCTCCAAAACAAACCCTGTGGTGTTCAGTCAGACTAAGGACAGCTGTCATTGTTAGGAGGTTATGTTATTAATAAACCTGACATGGATGTATACAAGCTCAGGCAGTGACATGTTCAGAAAAATAAATCCCTCTCTCTCTGGCTATTCTTTGTGGCTGAAGAGGGACGTTTAGCACACAAAGTGAAAGATACCATGGAAATGTAAAAAAGAATGTACTTACCCGATGCATTTTTCAGGTAGCCATTGGAGTCCACTGTGGTGTACATGACATAGGGACCTGGCTGGTTAACACCAAACGGCTGCAAACACACACACACACACACACACACACACACACACACACACACACAGACACACACAGACACACACACACACACACACACACACACAAACACACACAAACACACACACACACACACACACACACACACACACACACACTAATCAAACACAAATTAAAAATAATAAATTATAATACATTTCTGGAAATTTGCAAGTATCTTTTCACGTCAGCTGTCTGTCAGTGAGGGTGAAGGAGGACAGGGAGTGACAAGCAGGGAGGAGTAAAAAAAACAGAAAGACAAGAGAGAGAGTGGTCAGAAAGACAGAAAGGGATGTTGTCACCGCTGTGACCTTGAGCAGTTTCTTTTCTTTATTTTCACTAGGTGACACGGTAAACGTCTGACCTAGCTGGCTTGGATCTGACTGAGCATAAATGAGTGTGACGGCTGCGTGTTTTGCGCTCCTATGTGGGTGGATACAGAGGGGTCGTCTTATCGCTTCATTATGAAAGGATGACATCTAATGAAGAGAGCTGTCGAGCCATCCTTCTCTTTACATCAGCTAATCTCGAGCCTGTTACACGCGCAAACGTACCCGCAGCTAAAGAGAGAGTTGGCCCTTTATGCTGTGACACTCAGCAGTCGGGGTGAGGGAGGAATAGAAATGAGGTCAAAAAAGAAAGAGAGCGAGAGAGAGAGAGAGAGAGAGAGAGAGAGAGAGAGAGAGAGAGAGAGGAGAAAGCCACGGAGGAGCAGATTAGTGGGCTCAAAGAAAGACAGAGGAAGAGAGGTGTGACTAAGAAGAAGAGGAGCAGGAGAGTGAAATGAAAAGATACAGGGGGTGATGGATGGGAGAGGAGAGGAATAGAAACAGCCGCGAGCTCCACTCTTCTACAGCATTCATCATACCTTTCAGTTAGACAACAGGCGGGTGGAAGAGTAGACAGACAGAAAACCAAAACAACCAAAGTACCAGCAGCCTCTTGTTGATGTCAAAGCTAATGTGTTTTGCAAAGGGCTTTCCACAGGTGAAAGGTTGTACAAGGAGTGATGCTTGGCTGCTGTATGTCTGTCAGATTTCTCTGTCCACCTACACACAAGCTTCAGACATTAGCTCTTTGGGATAAATAAAAATAGCTTAAAGCTCCATAAATTGATGGCTACATTTCACTCTGAAAGTGCATTACAGTTGAAGAGCTCATGGTATGTCTGCAATGCAAAACCTTAAAACATGTCATGTGTGCATTTGTACTAGTCAATGCATGTCAGCTGACCCTCGTTCAAGCCCCTCCTCCCGACCAGAGTTGGGCGCAAGCTGAAGACTGTCTGGCTTTGGGGGACTAACCACCCAACATCTGCTGGCTGTAAGGGGAATTGTTCTCCAATGTAACTCCATCAGACAACATAATAGAGTAGAACATTGTTTACCATACAGTGCTTAGCTATTGTAAACTGAGGGTTATTTACCCTTATGAGGGACCTCAACAACACAAACAATAAAGTTGAACCTAGTTTAGAACAAAACAGTTGAACGAAGCTTCTTCCTGCAAGACAATGCAACGTCAGTGGTAAGGCAGAGTCTTATCTGTTTACGTTGTGATTGTTGAGATGATAAAATAATTGCTGTTCTGGGTTACAGAATCTCCCCTCATAGTACCATATATTGCTATGAAGTGTTTTGGCATCTGATAAGCCTTCAAACTGATGATTAATCAAACTGGCCATCATGGACGGTACTACATCTGAATCTGAAGTCCCCATCAACATTTTTACACAAAGCTGTTTTCAGTCTGATCAGCTCGTAAGGCGAAGTCATTGTTTTGTTTGATCAGGATTTCAATGGCCTTCAATGTGCTGATTTGATATTAGACTAATACCAAATTAAATAAAAAAGGCCTCTGCCTGATTATTTCAGCTTTCGGCGATTGTTTTTTTGTGGCTATTTTTGTCATTTTATTTTGCTAATTTAGCTAATGGTCTGCCTCAGAAGAATGAGAGAGGCTCAGTGATGCAGTACACACACTGAGCCGCTGAATGAGAGGAAAAACTACTGTAGAGCCAGTGTATTTTCACATCTAACTGCAAATCGTTAATTAAGCGTTTATTTCAACAAGTTTGACAACAGGGAATACAGTTACCAGGCGATTTGCAGGGGCTCCAAACAAGACTGTAACTCTGGGGAAGATGGAGACACAGCAGGGACAGCTCGGGACATGAGAGGGTAAAGCCAAGAGAGGAGAGGACAGACATGAAGAGGGTAGAGGAGCGAGGGAGGTCAGAGAGGCAGTGACGGCAATGTAGGGCCAGAATATTTTCACCTCTAGCTCTGTTTTATGCAGAAAATGTGTTTTTCCTTTACTTTCTTGACAATTGGTGGGTTTGTTTTCTTTATTAAAGCTTGTTGCAGCTAATAAACTCGCCGCTCATCTCCCACAACCGGGCCGGTGATTGGGGGGGTTGGGTGATATTGTTATAACATATTATAATAGTTATTATAAAAATATTTGTACAAACCCAGTCTCAGCAGACACGCAATGAACCCCAAGCCCCCACAAGGACAGGAGATGGAAAACTTTGAATTTATTTTCCCTTGTATTAAAGAATTCTTCCAGTGATATTTTATTGCCAATGTTAATCTTAACCACAAGGAAAAGCATGAGATACAATACAGTAAGCATGGCTACTGTCTTGTATTATGAAAGTCTGCTACTCGTCTGCATGAAGAAAAAATATTGGGGGAGGGCAGGAACAGGTGGAAATCATGCCACATAAAAACAAACCTAATTTATTTTGGTTCTTTACTTTTTTTTGTAAATTTCTTTCAGGCTAAAAGGTAGGTACTTTACATATAAAGAGGAGCTTATACTGCCCTAGAGCTCAAAAACGCATCACACATTCAAATCCCCCCTCCTAATTTCCTGAATATAAAATTGATTCTCCCCATAGACAATACGTTTTGCTAGCAGTTGGGATATTCCAGCCTATCTCTCTCTTCCTGCAGAAACATTGCTGATTGCAGACTCTGGAGGAAGATTAAGATGTATGCATGGAAAGATAAGTGCAGTGTCTAAAGACAGACACACCTGGCCAGACAGGTCAGGCACATAGAAAACAAGCAGACACAAAAAAGATAAGATTTCTTACCTTGACATCTTCTGGACAGTCATTGGAGCAGAGGCCGCTGAGCACTGAGGAAGACAGATGCAGAGAGTTAGACATGTTGCTCAGCATGTGTCACATGTCCAACACAATAACACACTGCCGTGGAACAAGAGTCATCTGTGATGGTGCTGTTGCTGTGCCCTAAGGGCCATTGTATCAACATGTATCAAACATCAAGAGGGTCAAACTCGCACAGAGAAATAAACTTTCCCGTGGCTGACTGTTAAAATAAAAAAAAACTAATCCGTATTAGTCATGCTTAAGCGTTCCTCACAGTAACACTGTATTTCATACAATTTAATCATCCTCTCTATTTGGTAAGTTAATGTGGACAAGACAGATGACCAAAGAAGGGAGGGTAATAAATAAATTGGAAGCAATAAGAAACATAAAAAGTAAATGCACAAACTATTAATGCTGCACGTGTGAGTGTGTGCTACGAGTGCATTTCATTTATTTGTGTGTACAAGCATAGCGAGGACAAAATCCGCTGAATTGCTAATCAGTCATTAGAGAAGTGACTTTATTAGCATACTAATAGGGTCCTGTGTCTAGGTTGCCTTTATTTGCCTGATGGAGTCACGCTGAAGCCCAATACTCTGTTAATAAGGTCTGCACCCTGCGCTGCACTGAACAGCAGCCAAACTCGATGCACCTATTCAAAAGGAACATCACAGTGTCCCTGGCTCAAACGTACAGTGGGCGGATAAAGCTTCGGCATTAGATGGTTCATCACTAACATTTAGTGTACAATAACCCATCCAAACAAAACTGAGGACTTAAATTAATCATTTTATGATGTGTTTTCTTTAAAATGGGTTGCTATATACTGATGTGGAACAACGGCAGGTGACAGCTGTCCCTGAATGCATAAGTCACTGATATTCATGGAAACTGTGGAATGTTCCCTGTCATCCATTCATTCAATTACAATTCATTCTTGTCTATAGCTCTCCAACTGTTTGCTTGCATGCTTCCACATTCACTCAACAACATGATCCTCCTATTCTTGCTTCTACACTGTTTAGGGTATTTATAGAACACCATTAAGTATTAATAAATTATAACTTTTAAGAAAGGCTTAAATACAGTGGGTCCAAAGAGCTATTCACACAAACAGTGTTTTCTTAAGCATTTCTGGAGTGTTGTCTCACATTTCTACAAATGTGTCAGTTCACAGCATCTCTGAGAGATGCTTGTAATACACACCCACTCTGTTTTATTTTTTTTATTTTCTACACACATCTGTATTTTTTTTTGTACTTGCCCACCTTATGAAGCAAAGAAAGCCATTTGCATGACAATTCTATAACTTCCTCTATGTTGGGCACTTGTGAAGGATATCTACAACAATTAACCTCCAGTTTCACTGTGTGAGCTTTCAAACTTCACAATGGGCAAAATGATTTTTAGGATTTAAGATAGCAAAGTCTTCCTGTCCATTGGTTGGCCCACCACCACAGTCCAGACTGAGATATCTTAACAACTATGCATGGCATTCTGACTGTAAGCAGGTTAGCATACTGGTGTTTAGCTAGAAGCACCACTGTGCCAAAGTAAAGCATCACTGTAAGTTGATAATAAGATGACTGCTGGCACTGGATTATCCAAACAAAGTCTGACTAATTATGGCAATGTTATATGCAAATGCAGTAGTGGTCGAGGGTTGAAGGCTGCATTGCACCATTTCCTTGTACTCTGATCCTAGTACCCTTCTGCCATCACTTTGTGTGAATAAACAAGAAGTTTTTTTTTTAAAGCTTTGATTTAAAAAGAAGTGGCGTACGTGTGGCAAAGGCAAATTTGCTGCTTTGAAGTTCACAAGCTTATTAAGTATATGCCTGAAGCGGTATTCAGATGGAGCTCCCATCAAAAGACAAACATGCCTTCCTTCACCCTAACTGACCACAGTGCATATGAACAGGGTTCAGTTAGAAATTTAATTTGATCAGGAAAAAACACTTTAATCTTTCATCAAGGCCTTTATGTTGTTGTCATTTAACATTGCTTTTAAAAGCGTATTCAGTAATCACATAATTTTAGAAAGCTGTCAATAATTGTTTGCAACACAAGATCTACATAATGTTTTCAAGTTTCTGATATCAAAATGGGCCAGCAACCACACACCCTTCATCATTTAATGAGACTTCAATAATCTCCTTATATACGTAATCACTGTGGTATTGTGCGTCAGAGAGAAATCTGGAACCTCTAAGATGACTGCACTTAGCTTTCTGAGCCCAAGGCTGTTTCTGGCTATTTTAGTGCCCTAGAAGTTGAGTAAAGTTGAATAACGCTCAATAAAAATAAAAAAAGGTTTTCAGGTTTTTTGGTTGTGAAAAGATCAAAGCCTTTAGGAGTTTTAGTGGAAGACTGGACTGGTGCACCAAAGTGGTCAGAAACAGCCCTGCAGGTAATTATACCGCTCATCAACTCAGAGCAAAGACCACATCAACACATCACAGGTGTCGGACCAAAGTCATCTATGAAGGACACAGATGATCAATAAATCATAGGGATCGGATTATTCATTGCTTGTTTGAATTCCATGCTGTTTGTGGTCAGGCTACAGGCACCACTGTCACTGACACTGTAAATCAATAATGCAGAGGGATTACACTGTCATTTGTTTGAAGTCAGTCTCATTTGGGATTATCAGGGAAAGAGAACATAGAACATAAGACAAAGGCTGTAGCAGGACTCAAAGCCACAATACCATCAGCTCACAGCACACATCCCAAACTATAGAATCTCATCCGTTAAGAGCCAGCTTCACTGTATTGCATTCTTTACAAATCATTTTGTAGCATAGAAAATATTCTCACACATTTTCACTTCAGCAGTTTTCGCTCTTTATGCCTGTGTGGTTAGGATGTCAGTTAAGAAGAACTGGAAAAAGTGCAAAAAGGCACGTCCATCTCTGTGGGCACAAACTGTGCCATTGTGTTAATCTGGCAAGAAACCTTAAAATACATCCTGGGTGGGATGTGAAATGTGTCCCCAAATTACAAAACACCACGGGAAAGAGAAAGATGTCGGCGCATGAGAGGGCTGAGAGGAACAAACAATGTCATGCAGCTAGAATACAAATATACTGTATGTCAGAAATTGATTGTCGGGATACTCTCATTGGGGAAACAAGTAAGACAAGTTGTTTACTGTCAATGTAAACGGACACATCTGAGAGGAACTGATGTGCGTGGCAATCTGTGTTTTGGTGATGGAAAACAAAACGTCAGATTTTAGTGACATTTTAATTTCCACTGTAGATGTAATAAAGCTAAATCACACTTGGCACCCCATGGAAATAACACTGTCAGACCGCCCTTGACTCATGCCAAACTCTTCTTCTCTTTTTTATTTCCTGTCAAATGTGAAAAACACAATAATGTCCAAAAAGGAGGTCTTTACACAACCTCTGAAAACTCTGTGGTGTGTGTGGCAATAGAAGAATTAGTAAATGTAATCAGTGAGAGGGACGCACACACATGCTAAATTAAGAATTTCATGACATGAATTCATTGATGCATAAAGAGAAAGAGAGAGAAAAAGACAGACATAGAATGCATGAATGCAGAAGTCCTTCACAACTCAATGGGCACGCCGTCGCTCCAGGAAGGGGATGAGTCTGTGTCAGGGTGGGTATTGGTGTGTCTGCATAGGCGCGTCACTACACTTATGAGAGAGAGGAAGCTGTTTCTTCTTCTACTTCAATCATTGGTTGACATGTAACAAGTACATAACAGCTCCTCCATGGCCAAAACAAGATCCCTGGAATAGCTCTCACACATCCTGTGGGGAACAGATTTTTGTCTCTTGCCACAGTCTCTCTCTCTCGCGCGCGCACGCACGCACGCACGCACACGCACACGCACGCACGCACGCACACACACACACACACACACACACACACACACACACACACACACACACACACACACACACACACACACACACACACACACACACACACACACACACACACACACACACACACACACACACACACACACACAGTACACAGACCAGTTCATCCTCCACTTGATTAACTTAGTCCTGTGAAGGAGCTGCTATCAGTCTTAATATTAGTCTAGAAAATAGGCTAGCTCAGTCCCACAGAGGCTGTGTAGGCTGTACTGTATATACATGTGTGTGTGTTTTCATCATTGTGACAATGAGCCAGGCAGTGAGCAGTGTTTCATGAACAGTGTGTGCAAAAGTGCCTGCTATTTTTTTTTTTTTTGGTTCAACCCAGGGTGGTTTTAGGTGAGTTGCTGAAAAACTGCCAGTCTCCATGAGCAAAACAGTCCATCTGTAACTGATTGGGAAACGGAGACAAATAGGGATGGCATGTTTACGTCTACCTGAGAAAATATACATCATGTACACACAATGTTGCAACAAATATAGGAAAGTGAAGGCAGTTTCGCAGGCCTCCAAAACGATCATGTATTTTATGTTTCACATTAGAGATTAGGGCTTTCATTTAGTTAACTGGTTAAAAAGGGTTATATTTAAAGTGGGCAGTACAATTATTAAAATTTAAGATTCACAAAAATTTTATATTTAATATCTCAAGGCGGACACATTCCTTCCAGCAAAGAGCAGATAGTTATGTACATCCAGTAACTTATAAGCATGGAGACTCTTTAGTATCACACTGGGATTTTTGATCAGATAAACAGTATATATCTGGATGTTTGGACTGTTTGTACCTATTCACAAGCATGAAATCTGAACTTGGCAAATTGGGCCAGTTCCCCCGGGAATCCAGCTGTGTGGTTCTAAAACATCGCTGAATACACAGACGGCGCTCTGGTCTCTGGCTAAGAGGCTAACATCCCAGCGGAAGGGATCAACTGGCATGCGCAAGATACGCTTAACTTAGTGCACCCCAATTAGCGACTTATTTTTTCAAATCCAGCCAGTTTAAAATATGCACCGGACAGTCACAAATTGTGAGGGAGAACACTTGTTTTCCAAAAAAACAAAACAAACTAACGACCAAGATGTCTCTCCAATGTTT